AGAAATCATAAACCGTTTGAGATCGGATCCATAAAGTTTTTTCACACGACAATTATTTACCGAACCCAATTCGTAAACCAATAAAGACAAATACATAATACATAATATTCGACATCTTATGAATGTGCCAAAACACATAGTCTCCTACATAAAAAAGAATGTCTACTTTAACTCGTTTACTTCGGTTATAATAATGAAAAATTATTTTCGCGTTTCCCACTTATGAACGTGACAACTAAATCTTGAAACACATCTTATTTACACATATCAACACAATAACAAACAATATTACACAATAACAAACAACCTCTAACACTCAAAATAATTTTCCCAAAACAAAATTATTTTTCCTCTCTGACCCTTGATTACTGGAGGCAGATTGTAATTTGACTCTACAAATTATTCCACCTGTCTTGTGTCCTTATATGACTCAAAAGTCAATTCGACAACTGACCAAGGGGAAATCACACACTTATTGAGTTGGTAACTTCACTCAATTTTCCTCTCATCCACGATGATAATAGAGTGAGTTCCCACAACTCGAAATTACCTCCACAAATCAAATAAATATGACTTGATTATCACCCTCGCTGAGTTCTCCTCATTGGTGACTGGAACACTCCATAAAAAATCAAGCCAAAATTTTTAACCCTTACTCACAACAGTTATCCCAACACAACCACTAGTGGACACCCACTTTCAACCAAAACAAACATTCCTTGATAAGCTAAACTTTCAGGGGGGAGGTATCAATTTTCCTTTCCTTATAAATTCTTTCAGAACCGCTAATTAAAAATCACATTTTCACATAGCAAAGAACTGGAAATTGAAATACCACTCTTCACAAATCTCCTGATTTAGAATCGTCAACAAATAAAATTTCTCACAAGAGCCAAACACAAAGTACGTGAGATTCCCATGATATAAAAATTTAAATTTCAAAGGACCACATATCCTAAAAATTTCAATACCAAAAAGAAACTGACCTCCAAATACCAATTGCTTATGGGGTACCAACTGCATCTCATGCACTTTCCCCCTCTCCAGGACTAAACATGTTGATCCCAAAATCAACACCATTAGTCCAAATTATCTTCGCAGAGAACGGACCATTTTCTCAGACTTACAAGAATAATTTTTAAAAACCAGGGTCAAACCACAAAAACTCCCGAATTAAAGAGTAAGTTCTCCTCACTCACAACACAAACAACTCCTCAAATTAGGAGAGTGAGTTCTCCTCACTCGCCACACAAAATACCTCTCAAATTAAAGAGAGTGAGTTCTCCTCACTCGCCACACAAATACCTCTCAAATTAAAGAGTGAGTTCTCCTCACTCAAAACCCAAATCTCTCTCAATAGGGAGTGAGTACTCCTCACTCAAACACTATTTTTTTTCTCAAAGAGTGAGTACTCCTCACTCGTAGAAACACGAATTACCACAATTGACAACACAATAATAATTTATACAAAAGAGACAATTTCCAACATCTCTACAATTTGGACTGGGGAAAGAGATTGTCTCAACCCTCTTTTGCGCGCTTCCAAAAATCCCAAACACCATTGCCTAGAATGGCACTAGTCAGAAACTAGTTCCAGCCTCGTTACCCATGCGTTAACTCGAACCTTCAACGAAAATATTCAGCTGAATTTTAATTCAACCATTTCCGCTCTAGTGTTAAAAGTTTCCAACCTGGCCCACTATTGGCCGGTTAACCGTCCACTTGTTTAGAAAATTCCGGGCCCTATAATTTACCCGAAATTTCTCTAAACTAGGAAAGCCTTTCTTTCCACCACAGACTCACGCACTGTTGGGCAACCAAACTTACTAGAAAATTTATTAATCAAATTTCTTATTTATATTTAGGGCAAAAATAACAAGTAAATCCGGATAATGCGTTCTGGCATCAACTTGGGTAAACCTCCGACTACCCGATGAAATCATCGGAGAAATAACACCTTCTGATGCCGAACTCCACACTACGTTCGTTGTGGCCATTCCACACGAATTTGCTGAGGTGGTTATTACCGAATTCGACACAAATGTTTCACAAGCCGATACTGCTCTAATGCAAGTAGGGACTGACAATAATTTGTCATTTTGAAACCGCTGTAAAGGTCCTATAAAATCCAAATCATTTCCTGTCAAAACTTGGGAACTTTTTTTCCCTGTCAGGTTACCGACACAAGAATTAAATTCTGTGACCCCTTCCTGATCTATTTTGCAATCAAATGACCCTCGGATTTTCTTAGTTAGGCCTTTCATTGTCTCACACAACAATATACCTCGAATGTCACTCGCCCCACACATTTCAAACCAAGACCCAAAACCAATCAGCCCAAAATAAACCAAAAATTCAACAAAATGTTTATGTTACGGATATATTAATAACGCGCTTTGTCCAAATAAATAAAATAGACAAAATACAAACAACTTCACAATTTTGTACACTCAAACAAAATCAAAATCTCACAAATAAAAACTCAAATATTTTTCATAAATAAATTTTCCACAAAATAATATTCAAGAAAATTTTCCAGCTGTCAATTTTTAACCGATTTAAAAATTAACCAATACTTTTCAACCTTAATTTGACCCTTCGGCCCAAAATGCCGCGTCAAATTTCTCTTTGAAAAATATCCATCAATTTTCCCAAGAAGGAGAAAAGGTTCATTAACCGCTGAGAATTATGAAAAATGTCACATTTAGCGAACCAAAAATAGAAACTGTTTTCCACCCAAAGAAATGAAAAACGTAAATTCCCAACAAATTTATCCGCTAAAATTTCCACTAAAATCCACAAATTATAAATGAATTTTACCACAAAAAATCTTTACCAAAACTAAAAAACCTTTGTAAACCGTAAAATTCAAAATGGTCGTGACAGACGCTATCCAAAATTTTCTGGCGGCAAACTTTTCCCGCGCTCTAAAAATTATCGCGTCTCTCTGTACAACCGCGTCCTTTAATTAAAATTCCAAAATTATTCCAACAGAAAATTTAAAAGACGTTATCAAAAAGGACAAACAACACTAAAATATTCCAAATCACTCACAAAAAACAAAATCAAAATTAAATATGGCCAGAAATAATAAATAAAATTATAGTTTCCAATAGACGCAAAAGTATTGACCTATCAATACTTCCCCGCGTCACTGGCCATGTCCTGTGATGAGTACACTCATTGCCCAAAACACAATTCCCAAAAAATTGTAATAAAGCCGTTTTAATATTCAAAATTTCGATTTTTCCTTTTACCCGATCAAACACGAATTTCCCAAGAAAAATAATACTGGCTGTAAATTTCTTCCAGAATGTTCACAACAAATAAACCCAAAATTCAATTCGAAAATTGAAATTATTATAGACGCGACATTTCTCCGCACGCCTTCACTTTCGCGCCAATTCAAAAATGCCGGTATTACGTGAACCAAGCACATGTTTAACCCAAAAATTTTAATTTTGAATTTAACACTGAAAAAATTACACACAGCCAAACCTCAATATTTTTCCTATGAGCCCAAAATTCCTGCGTCCGATCCCAACCAAGAAACCACAGCCAATTATTTAGGCCAAACTATCACCAATTTCACAAATTCAAAGTCACATGGTGATGTGCCCAAAGAAAATCCTCATCGCCTCTGTCCCAAAGTCCAACGCTTAGCCTGCCCCACGTTGGGCGCCAAAATTATAACAGATCTTTTATTAGTAACAACTAACTTGTATCGACCGTTTAATGATACACAAAAAACCTTAAAATACCTGAGAGGAGATTCCGCTTCGGACTTATAAACCGACGGATACAAACGACGGCGAAACAAGACACGATGAAACCTGGACACAACGATTTACCAACGGCGACTCTTACAAACACAAATCCGACGACACAAACAATAAATAAATAAACTCATAAAAGAATAAAACACAAAAGATTCACTTAAACAATTGACAATTTATTGAAACCGAAACTCAAATACAAACTGACTCTAAAACCCTGAGGTTTCCAAAAGTGGAAACCCCGAGTAAAACGCAACCTAATAATTTACATGGCCCACGAGCTACTGAAGAATGAATTTCACGTTGACCGGCTTCTTCCTTCATTTTTCCGTCCTTTTCTAATTTTGATAAGGGCCCACATATGACCCTCTCACTCACTCGAATGGACAGCGACAACCTGTAAAGAAAACTCGGGAGGGACCGCAGAGATTCGGGACTTTTCGCAACCTCGCATGCGCAATTCATTTTCACAGAGATTTCCACAGAGAAAATATCCCTTGACCAAATGAAATTTAGATAATCCCAATGATAGGAACCACACAAGATTTATGTAACGAAATGCTTCGTTACAAATGGCTTCTGAGGCGTGGAAATGATAATATAGTTGAAATACCGAGATTTTTTTAAAAATCATAACTATTGTAAACATGCAAGAATATAAATTGAAATTATTAAATTTTTTCTGTGGAAAGCAGGTAGGTAGATTGCAACCGTGATAATTCTTTAAATCATTCACGCGCGCATCGCGCGCGTAGGACTTTGCTAGTTAAATATATTCGTAAATAAATTTAACAGAATTTTTGTTTTCTTGCAAAGAAAGAAAAAAAATGAATTGCACTCAATTTTTCATTATTTTACAACCTTATATTTTTTTTACTTATAAAAAATATAATACAATAGAAATTACAAGAATGTAACTTCTAATTTCTTTTTACAAATATAATAAAAATAACTTTTTTGCCTTATTAGAATTTAAATTCTTAAACAATTGATCTTCTCCTGAAGTAGAAAAATTATTGTTTTGGCAGTTTAAATCACTTTGTCATTATGATGAGAAGAAATAAATTGTAACGTGAAAAAAACAATAATTCGAGAATTCAATATTTTCTATATATATAGAAAACAAAAAAATAAACTATCACAATATTTTATCGACGACGAAACTTAAAAAATATGATCATTGGAAGTGCACAATGATATATAATACAAATGAATTTTTTTTTCTTCTCCTTTTTCAGAAATTAAACGTTTCATGTTAATCTTCTTTTTTGAATATCATTCGATAAAAGGGCTATTTGAATATAACTGTGACCCTCACGAAGATTTATTAATCTGAAACAAAAATTTTTTATTAGTTAAATAATTATTTTAAAATTATAATTTAATCAAATCATCTCATAATAATCTATTTAAATTTTATTGAAAATAATAATTGAATTCCTACGAGGTATTTTGAATTCGAATTCTTTCGAGAAAAATTAAAATCGAGTGGAAAATTATAATTGAATTTGGAAATTGCTTTTCTTTGAAAAAAATTTTGTTTATTTATTTTATTACCTATTACGTTCTTGTTGCTGTAATCGCACTCGATCTCCTCTTTTTAGTGGAATTATTATACTCGTGTGACACGAAACTTCTGTAACTGTCTCTGCCGAAACTGTCGCACATTTCGCGAGTCTTTGCGGTATCGATGAACCCTCGGAACTCAATAGAATCCAATATGAATAATTCGTCGATTCTCCGAAGTAAAATATCTGAAAATTTATTTTTGTTTCTTTGTAGAAAAATATTGATATTTTTTACTTTACCAAAAGTAAAGAAAGAAATAAATGAAAATTAATTTAGAAGATTAACAGGGTTGATACAGGTCAGGGAAATCAGGAAAAAGTTAGGGATTTTCATTAAAAGTACTGGGAAAAATTAAATGTTTAGAATTTATAAGAAAATTCTGAATTTTTGTCTTTTTCTTTGCCTCATAAACTATGAAAATACCATGAATTCTAAAAAAAAACCTTTAATTTTTTCTATATTTCTGACAATAAATTATTTTAAAAATTGTTGTGATGTTGATGGGTTTCAATAGAAGTTTTTGAGAACTGCCATAAATTATAAATCATTTAATGAAGAATTTTTTTCTAATTTTAATTTCAATTTTGTTGAACTTAGTTTTAAATTTTTAAAGTTTTAAAGCAATTCTTTCAAAAAATTCAACTATCTTAGTAAATATCAAAATTTTTTCCAGAAATTCAATTATTTTCAAAATTTTTTTTAAAATTCTCCTCAACATTTCAATTATCTTTATAAAGATAATTCGCCGAAATTCAATTATATTCAGGAATTTTAATAAAATTATTTTCAAAATTTAATTATTTTCATAAATAATAATATTCATCACAAGAATTCAATTATTTTCAAAATTAATAAAATTCTTCGCAGAAATTCAATTATTTTTAAAAAATCTAAAAAAAAAATTGTCGTCAACATATCAATTATCTTTATAAATGAATAGCAAAATTCTTCGACAAAATTAAATTATTTTCAGGAATTTTAATAAAATTCATTGCAAAATTCAATTATTCTCAAAAGTAATAAAATTCTATTATTTTCAAAAAATTCAATTATTTAAAAACTATTTTGACAAAATTCTACAGGAATATGTAAATATTTTCTAAAATAATTAAAATTTGCATAAATTTTTTCGAAAAAAATCAAATCTTTGAAACTTTTATAAAAAGTTCTAAAGGTTTCAAATTAAAATCTTGAAAATTTGAGTTTTTCATACTTTTAATTTAAAATTCTATGGAAATTATTTTGTTTAAAAAGCTTAATCGAAATTTTTGAAAATTATTTCAAGTTTTTATTTTCTAATGTATACCTATTTAATTGCAGAATTTCAGAATAATCAAAATTTCGTAAAATTGAATTGAAATGATGAAAATTATTTTGAAGAAGTTACAATAAGAATATTCTTATGATATAAAATAATGATTTTATCACTCGGTCATCTTAAATTGTTATAAAATGTTTTTTATAATATTCTTGAAAAGTTATTGAATTTTAAAAGCTTTGAATTTGAAATTTTGAAAATCTTAATTCCCATGGAAAAATAATAAAGATTAAATATTTATTTAAAAATGCAGTTATTGATGTTTTCGAATCATTTTACAATTAAATGAAATAAATGTAATAGAATATTTTTTTGAGTATTTAATCATTTTTAGAGGAAATCAGAATATTCTTTAGGATCAGGGAAAAAGCCAAAATTTTATATGAAAATCAGGGAAAACAAAATTAAATGTTTGTGGTAACCCTGATTAATTAACGAATTAATTTCAGATTTTGAATTAATATTTTCTTTAATTACCTGCGTTGAGATCATGTAAAGGCCGTTAGTGGTAACTTCAATGGACTTTTCATTCTCGACTAGATGAAACTTGTTGAAATTATAGCGCGATTCGTTTCTCGAACTTTTCACCCAAGGCCCGATGAAAACTGCAGTAAGATAGGAGTTTTCATATTTAAAAAAAAAATTTACAGGCAGAAAACACCAAATAGTGCAAGAACTGACGACTTATACTAACTACCTGAGTCAGTCACGAATTGCTCGGGTTGGGCTCCAACAAAAGTTGCTATCCAGGGACCTGAAAAATATTTTCCCCTCATTTAAATTGTATCCATTTTTTTTTTCGTTTTTTAAAAAAGCATTAAATTCGGAAGAGAATTAATTTCAAGAGGAAAAAGAAAGATAAATAAAAATTAAAAATCACGACAAATGTACCCAATCGCCTGCGACTGCGTTTGGGCCTCCCTTTGTTTTTGTTCTTTCTCGCCTCTTTACCTCTTCCTTCATCTCTGCGTGCTCGAGAACTTCTATATTCACTGCTCTCCGATTCAGTAAATTTATCATTTACATCTTCTTCCTCCTCCTCCGTCTCTTCTTCATCTTCATAGTAATCACTTTTATCATTTTCAAGCAAAAAATCAACATCTGTTGAATTTTTTTTCGCTATTAATAAAGATCTTCGAGTTCGTAATATTTTTTTCCCCCTCATAAACTTTGAATTTTCTTGCTCGAGACTTTGAAAATTATTATCATTTCTGGAATTTAGATTTTTTTCCATTTCTTTTTCATTTTGTTTTAGGCTCTCAACTATTGTTGTTGTTGGCCGTAATGGAATTTGATGATTGAAATCTCTTCTCGAGAACCTCTTCAAATCCCTTGTGTTCATTTGAAATCTCTCGTACGATCGTTGAAGGAAATTACAATTTTTCTCTAATTTCTCATATTTCAACATTAATATCACAAAGTTTGCATTCATGTCGTTTATCTGGAAAAGTAGCAGAAAAAAATATTAAAAATAACATAATTCAAAGAAAAGGAAGAGATAATAAAATTTTTTCATTTTCTTTTGTCTTTTCCGAACTTTTTTTGCAAAAAACTTAATTTTGAACTTGAAAACAAAAAGAAACAAAGAAAGAAAATTCCGATTAGAGTGAATGCGTAATGAAAATGTTCTGAGTCAGATAAAATATTCTTTTACACATAATTTACTGTGTAAATTGTTTCCTTTTAGATTAGCAAAAGTTCCGTCACACGGACATGACTTTGGCAAGTTCAAAAAGGAATGGAAAAGGAAAAAAAATACTAGAACGATTTCCCTTGCCTTATGGAGATAAGTCCATTAAGTATTATTTTTTTTCCGAAGAAAGAAAAATAATAGCGAGATCACCTTGTCTTTTTTATCTTCGTTATTGGTTTTATTTTGCAAAAAAAAATCAATAATTAATATCAATTTTTGGTAATTAATTTTAGAGTTTTATTTTTTTAGTATTTTGTAAATATTTTCTATTCTTAAGTAATTGACTTAATAGATAAATTTTGATAATTAATTTAATAACTTAAATTTGGTTTTTTTGATGAAAAAATTAGGAATTAGTGAACAAAAATACCTGAACTTGTAAGGCACGAATTTCTCCTTTCAAATGAGAGAACACGACTGCAAATGCAACCACTAAAATGAAAATCAGGAGATTTTTTATCCTCTGAATAAATTGTAATTTCTTTGATCCAGAGAGAATAACATTCATATCAACATTCCACTCAATGAGGTTCGTTTTATTTTCTAATAAGGGATCCTTGACGAAAACTTTGATATCATTTTTTGGAGGTTCCATTTTCAAATTTGCGTCCATCCCCTCGTTTTTGAGAATTTTTTTTAAATCTTTTACACTTTCGAGTCATGCGTTTCTAATTAATTGCCTCTTAACCTGAAATGTATTTTTAAAAAATTAATTAAATTTATTTTTATTAATAACAATTTTGTTATTATTTATTTTTCAATAATTTCAGATTCAAAATTTAAAAAATATTAATTATTAACTGTTTTACAAGAATTCAATTATTTTCAGTACAATTTTTATCTTTCTCGAAAGTATTCAATTATTTTTAAAAGTTTCAATAAAATTCTGTGTAGAATTCAATTATTGCGAAAAAATTTTTTAATAAAATTAAATAATAAAATTTTTAACTAAAATTATTAACAAACACGATTATTTTAAAAACATGAAAAAAATTCTTTACAAATTTAAATTACTTTCAAAATTTCCAATTAAAATTGTTTACAAAACTCCAATATTTTCAAAAAATTCAATGAAATTCTTCAAAATATTTATTTTTAAAAGTTTTAATAAAATTCTTTATAGGAATTAAATTATTTTAAAAAAAAATTCTAATAAAATTCTAGATTACAAATATTAACAAACACGATTCTTTTAAAAAAATGAAAAAAATTCTTTATAAAATTCAATTACTCTCATACTTTTTATTTACAATTCAATTATTTGAAAAAAAACTCTAATATTTTCAAAAAATTCAAAGAATTTCTTCAAAATATTTATTTTTAAAAATTTTGATAAAATTCTTCACAGGAATTTAATTATTTTCAATAAGAATTTTAATAAAAATCTCGAAAAAATTAAATTATTTAAAAAAATTTTTATAAAATTTCTGGAAAGAATTTAATTATTTTTAAAAATTTTTCGAAAGAATTAAATTATTTTCGAAATTTTTGAATAAAATTCTGTGTAGTATTCAATTATTTCCAAAAAAATTTGAATAAAATTTTTAATTAAAATTATTTAAAATATTTCAATATTTTCAAAATTTTTTAAAAAATTTCTCGAAAGAATTCAATTATTTTCGAAAATTTGAATAAAATTCTTTGCCAGAATTTAATTCAATTTGAATAAAAATCTCAAAAAAATTCAATTATTTTTAAAAATTATAATAAAATTCTCTGAATAAATGCAATTATTTTCATAAATTTTAATAAAATTCTTCGGAAGAATTCAATGATTTTGAATAAATTAATTTGAATTTAATAAATAAATAAATTTAATAAATTCGGAATTTATTTATTTACTTTTTAATAAGAATTGAAAATTTAATAGAAAATATATTTTTTTGCTTCTGATATGAAATAAGAAAATTCTCGATAATTAATTAATTAACATGAGTAATAACTTGGCAATTAAAATAATAGATAATTATCGGACCATATTTGATATATGTGTAAAATATCATTTATCTCGATAATGTTATCAAAATGCTTATCATATTATGAGAACCTATGGAACGTTGGGGAATGTAAACAAATCGAGCAAAGTAATTCAACCAGAAGCGTTTTTATTAAAAAATTATTAATATTATTATTATTTAGAAAAATTATTAGAAATTAAAAATATTCGATATTTTTAGCAAAACTTTTTTTAAAAAAATTAATTCAACTTTCGTTGATTATAACATTTATTTTTAATTTCTTCGAGTAAATATTACGCTATGTGACGAATGTTTTTCAACAAAATTCATTCGTTACTACATTTTCTGCAATCGTGTTTAAATTATTTCATTCATAATGCAATTCAATTCGTGTCGAAAAAGAAATTTGGCAAAATTCAGAGGCGAAATTAATTTTCAAAAAAAATATAAGGAAAATATTTAAAAATTAAATTTAATATTAAAATTGTTTTATAAAATTCTCAAATTGTTCTGCTAAAATATTTTTTCTACTTTGTAGAATTATTTATTTATTATAATAAAAATAAACAAAATAGCCTTCTTCAATTGCTTTTAATTAAATTACCGAGTCACATTCTAATTGAACGATAAATTGTATCAATTTTTCTTATCAAAACCATTAATAAATTTATTGTTTCCGGATGTGACGCGTGTTTTGCAAACAAATTTTTAAGATATTCTTCTTTCACTGGCAACTTGAAGGAACAAAACGAAAGTTGTGATAACTTTTCCGGACCAACTGAAGTGTTCTAAAAATAATTCAATTTGAATTCATTTTAAGAAACAACAGTTACACACGCGCGCGCGGTAAATAAAACTGTTTCAAAACCGGTTCAAAGAAAAGGAAAAAATTAAATTTTTCAAATTGATTTCAATTTTTTTTCTCAAAGAAAACAAATCGAGATTATTTTCTATTCTTAGTTCACGTTCACTCGGAATCCGTAACAATACTGACTTGAAATCCTCATTTTTCTATGTGTCACACTTTGGAATCTTTGCTCCAGAAAAAGCAAAAGTGCGAAAGTATCACATATCATTTTCCCGAATATTTAAAATAACTTATCTTTTGAACCATTATTCATAATAGAGAGAGAGAGAGTGAGAAAAAGAAATTTTGTAAGCGTTTGCATTCTGAGAAGGACGCAGTTCAGAATAGCGGTACCAATATGCACCGGGTTTTAAAATTATTTTATTTTGAATGTAATTATTGAAACTTGAGAAAAAAACAAATTTCATTTCTTTTTTATTTTTCCAGATTTTTATTTTTCGAGAGTGAAAAAAAAGAAGGAGGATGAAAATAAAGAAGAGAATATTTGAAAATTACTCACACGCATTTCTGATGTTTTTTCTCTCGTCTCTGTATATTAAAAAAAACGGAAATCCTCGGTCCACGATATATGGCGTGGACGCCGTGAATTCGCCTCACGAGAAACTCTTGGTAACATAAGCTTCGCCTTCAAGTCCCATCTTTTGTTTACTATGCTGAGCCTGCCTCCTCCACACACAACGCGGAGTATATTCCGACCGGTTCGTCGGGAGGCAAACGGTGTTCGACTGCCAACTCTGAAAATCCCTAGGTCAGTGGTTGCCAGTCTTACGCGACCGTAGGAGGGTACCGTACGTGTTGGAATTTCAACCTGAGATCAGATTTTCATTTCTATATAATACATAAGATCCAGAACCCCCGGGGATATCTTGTTGCCCTTTGCAAAGAATCGAGAAATTATTTTTTTTTCCGAATCCCATTTTAAAGCACGAGGGTATATAGACATTTTTTTTCTATTATACAATTCTGTCAATTTTGAACGAAGAATATTTATTTATTTACATTATTTTATTCACAAAATAATTATTTAAAGAAAAAATATTCGGTATTATTAGAAGAAATTTTGATTAGGTACTAGGAAAAAAATATCATTTATCTTTCAAATGTTATTTTTTTGTTAATCGAAAATTTGAATAAAATATTCAATGTCTTTTTAAAAGAAATTTTTATATATCAACTTCAATTTTTGAATAATTTCGGATTCAAAATTTAAAGAGATTAACTTGATAACTAATTAATTATCATTATTTATTATTTTCAAAACTTTTAATAAAATTCTTGGCAGAATTAAATTATTTTTATAAATAATAAAATCCTTTGCCGGAATTTAATTATTTTTAATATAATTTTAACACTTCGCAAATAAATTTACCGAATTCAATTATTTTTGAAAATATTAATAAAATTCTTCAAAGGAATTCAATTATTTGAAAAGATTTTAATAAAATCTTTGTAAAATATTCATATAAATTCAAAATTTGTATAAAATTCTTTGTAAGAATTCAATTATTTTTAATTTAATTTTAATTGAATTTCTTGGATGTATTTGATGAATTCAATTATTTTCGTAATTAATAAAATTCTTCCCTTTGCAAAGAATAGAGAAATTATTTTTTTTCAAATCCCATTTTAAAGTACGAGGGTATATTGAATTTTCTTTCTATTATACAAATCTGTCAATTTTGAACGGAGAATATTTATTTATTTAGATTATTTTATTCACAAAATAATTATTTAAATATAAAGAATTCTATATTATTAGACGAATTTTTGATTAAGTTCTATTTTTTTAACTTAAACGGTTTACGAAATCAAATATTTAGACAAAAAATGTTTAGTCAATTAAATTTTATTTATAAGAATTTTTTCATAACGCGGTGCAAAAAAGGGCACTTTTTTTGCACCTTTTTTGGAACAAACTGTAGGCACTCGTTACGAAATATACTATTTCAAATTTCATTTCAATTTAAAAAAAATATTTTCAATATTTTTTTGTTGGTTCTATTTTTTTTTAACTTAAACGGATCACGAATTCAAATATTTAGACAAAAAAGTGTTAGTCAATTCAATTTTATTTTTAAAAATTTATTTCGAATTTCATTGCAATTTGAAAAAATATTTTCTATGTTTTTAATATTTCTAAAGATTCGAACATTTGAATGAAGAATTTTTTTAGTTGTTTAGCCAATTCAATTTTATTTTTAAAAATAATTTATTTCAAATTTAATTACATTTTTTAAAAACATTTTCAATCGTTAATGTCCCTAAAGTTTCGAACGTTTGAATAGGCGATTTTTTTAAATTTATTTTTAATATTATTTAATTCTAATTACTTTTAAAAAATTAGGATTCATTTCAAATTTAATAACACTGCCGTTCATTTAAACGTTCGAAACAATAAATAATAAAAAATGATATAAATATTGCAATTAAATTTTTCTTTGCAGATTGCAATTATTTTCGAAAATAACAACATTTCTAGAATAAATTCACAGAATTCAATTTTTTTTTGAAAATAGTAATAAAATTCTTCCCAAAATTTTAATTATTTAGAAAGATTTAAATGAAATTCTTCGTGAAAATTCAATTATTTTTGTAAATTTTGATAAATTTCTTAATAAGAATTCAATTATTTTTATTATTAAATATTGGAAATATTATTTAAAAATTGCAATTAAATTTGTCATAAAAAACTTAGAAATAAAATTAGACTGTATCGACTACGAAATTGAAAAAAATCGATAATTTTTAAAAATTTGCAATTACATTTCAAATGATTTTTTTTATAGAAATAAAATTGAATTGAATCGAACAAAAAATTAAAAAAGTCTTTACTAAAATTTTTCGGTCATTTAATTCAATTTTATTTTGAAAAATAATTAATATCTCTTATTGAATTCCAATTATAAAAAATATTTTTAATATTTAATGTTGCTAAGTTTTGAACGTTTAAATTTAAACATTAACAATTTTTTAGTCTACTCCATTTTATTCCATTTTTTTCATAGAAATTTATATTACCGTTTCTTTATAGTAATCTTTATATCTTTGGGGTTGATTTTGCATAAAAAGATTAGAGTTAAAAAAATTAGACAAAAAATGAAAGCAATATCATTAACCAAATGAAAAAATCGACTAAAATCTTTTGAAATAGACAAATCTATAATTTTTGCTTCTTAATAAGAAACGATTGATCCATTTTCAGAATTTTATATACTGCAAAACTGACTTGTAAAACCTTGAAAGTTTAGTTTAGTTCCATTCACTCAACTCAGACACTTCATCCATGAAAAAATAATATAAATATTATTAACAAAAGTGAATTAACATCTAAAACAAGTTTTCACATTATAATAATTATAATCAAACTTTAAAGAAGAATTTTCACTTTTTAATTACCTAAAAAAATTTATTATTGAAATATTATTGGGGAAATTTATAATCATATTAGAACATTTATTATTCTATTCGAAATTGACAATATTCTTTATGAAATTTTCAATTTTTCACTCTCAATTTCAGTGTGTTTTTATCTCGTTCCAACACCTTTCACGTAACGATAAGTGTTCATTAACTTAACTGTTAAGTGAGATTGAAAATTTCACAATGTTTACAATCACATTATTTTTTCTTTTTTTCTTTTTAGTGAACAGAATAGATACATTCGTTTTCTATTTTTTCCTTGCTTCCTGAATATAAGAATTGAACTTTTCGATAAAATAAAATCATTAAAACTAGTTTTATCGTTATTTGTGAATTTTTACAAAAGCCATTAAAAAACTGAGATTTTATTTAAAAGAAACTGAAGCCATTAATACAAAAGTCGTATTTCAAACTCGTTTCCAAGGCTCTTGCAATCTTTTTATGTAAAATCGACCCGTTTCCCCAAAAAAAAAAGTCTTGGAGATTTCAGGTTCCTAATTTCTAAACGAAATTGGCAGTTCAACATCCTATACCTGATTTCTAATAATTTTCTAATAAGATAATAAAATTTTAGTGAACTTTTTTAATTTGTCGTTTTGAAAATTTGTTAATAGAACTTTCATCTTCTTTATTAGCTGAGATTTTGCGTCTATCGTATTTTGCGCATTCTCTCAATTGTAAATCTCTTAAGCACAACACTTGACTCACAGCAAAAGGTCGATTAGCAAGTGCAATTTTCAATTGAAATCTCACATTGTAATATCGGTCATTCGCATTAATTTACATTTAATAGACTCACGATCTAGATAAACATATTAAATGAAAAAAAAATTATTTAAAAAACAATCTATTTCTCTCTCAAATGAAACAAATTTCATTGTATATTTTCATTCACAATTTATTTGACCGTACAATTTAGTAATCGATTATGTGCAATAATAGCAATTGTCAAATTAAATGTGTAAAAGATACGTAATTGTTAATTTCTACTAGTGAATTGATTTCAATTTAACTTTTATTTAATTTAACTTTTTTTTTGTTTATATTTTTTTCTATCAGGGGAACAAAATATTTAATGTCTTTTTAAAAGAAATTTTTATATATCAACTTCAATTTTTGAATAATTTCGGATTCAAAATTTAAAAAGATTAACTTGATAACAAATTAATTAGCATTATATTATTATTTTCAAAACTTTTCATAAAATTATTTGCAGCATTCAATTAGTTTCATAAATAATAAAATTCTTTGGAATTAAATTTTTTTTAATATCAACATTTCTCGAATAAATTTACCGAATTCAATTATTTTTTTATTCAATTATTTGAAAATACAATAAATAAAATTCTTCACAGATTTTCAATTATTTAGAAAGATTTTAATAAAATCTTTGTAGAAAATTGAATTATATTCAAAATTTGTATAAAATACTTTGTAAGAATTCAATTATTTCCAATACAACTTTAATTGAATTTCTTTGATGAATTTGACGAATTCAATTATTTTCGTATTTTATAAAATTCTTCGGCGGAATTCAATTATTTTTAATACAATTTTAACAACATTTTCAGCACAATTTAATTATTTTTGATAATTTTAATAAAATTCTAAGCAGAATTTCAATCCAATTTATATTAAATTTGTCAAAAGAATTTATTAAAAATTATTTAAATTTTCTTTTTTTAATTTCAATAAATTTTGCAGAAATCAATTATTTTCATGAATAATAAAATTCTTCGCTATGGAATTCAATTATTTCTAATACAATTTTAACAAAAATTTCTCGAATAAACTTACAAAATTCAATTATTTAATAATAACGTTCTGAGTAGAATTCAATTATTTTTAAAAATTTTATTAAAATTGTAAGCAGAATTTCAATTATTTCAAAAAAATTTAATAACATGGTTTAAAAAAATTAAATTACTTTCAATACAATTAAAATTGAATTTCTCAAAAGAATTTATCGAATTCAATTTTTTTTTGTAAAAGTTTTAATAGAATTTTTTGCAGAAATAAATTATTTTCATAAATAAAATTCTTCGCTGAAATTAATTATTTGTAATATAATTTTAACAAGATTTCTCCAATAAATTTACAAAAATTAAATTAATTTTGAAAATTTTAATAAAACTCTTCGTAGAATTTCAATTATTTCAAAAAAATTTAAGAAAATTCTTCGAAAGAATTCAATTAATTTCAATATAATTTTAATTGAAATTTCTTGAAAGAATTAACCAAATTCAATTATTGTTAATAATTTTAGCAAAATTCATCGTAGGATTTCAGTTATTTAAAAAGATTTAATAAAATTATTCAAAACAATTC